ATATATGATATATAATACATAATAAGAAACACGCACACAGGGGCCAGCAGGTGGTGTGGAAGTTAAGGTGTTGTACTCCCGCATTGCTGACCATGGTTTGAGTCTCAGACCTCGCAGCTTGAAAAATCACACCTGGCACATGTACATGCGTGCCCAAAATCCCAAGAGGAGAATGGAGGAAAAGGGATTGTGGGGTAGTCATTTCCCCAGGGGGGTGATTTCTCACTTTTCCTCTCACTGTCCCTGCCGCCCCTCCCCCATGAATACACATGCCCCTTAGGCACTTTCTTTCTTTCTTTCTTTCTTTTTTTTTTTTTTTAAAGAATTGTTTATTTAACTTTATTTATTTATTAATTTATTTTTTAAATTTTACCAGAGAGAGATACAGAGAGAGAGAAAGAAGGTGAGAAAGCAAGCCATCAGGTCTGGGACTCGAACTGTGGTCGACCATGTGGGAGTATCCAGCGCCTTAACCACCATGCCACCCGCCGGTTCCCAACTTTCTTTCTTTTTTTAAAAACAAAGGACAGCAGATGATGGCAAAATGGTTATGTCGCTGGACTCCCACATAGTCGACTTTGGTTCGAGTCCCAGGACTGGAGGCGCATGCGTGTGTGCCCAAGATCCTGAGAGGAGAATGGAGGAGAAGGGACTATGGCGTGGCCATCCCCTCTTGGGAGTGATTTCTCGCTTTCTGTCTCTTTGTCTCTCTGTTTCTCTGGTGAGCGCACACAACCTATAGCAAAAATCTCTCTCAGAAAAAAGGAAAAAGAAAAGAAAAGAAAGAGGGAAAAGGAGAGTCCTGCTGAGGAGGACGGTCAGGAGGAACCACAGGAGAATGAGAACACAGGAGGCCTGAGATCACTCCACCTCCCTCATGGGCGGCCTGAGTCTGGCCTGGCACCCGCCAGCCGACAGAGATGCTAGTAGGTGGCACCGTCTTTACTGGGAGCCTGCAGAGATGGTCTCGATTAGCTAGAAGGCCTGGGGCTCACAGGCAGCCTCCCAGGGCCCACAGAGTGGAGTGTGAAGTGGCAGAAGTGTCACCTTCCTCTCCGGAGCCTTCTCCCGCTGGGGGATCCTGGGTTAGTCAGCCTCCTTTGAATCCCAGAGTTTTTCTTTTTCTGGGGCAGGAATCCTCTCTGACATTCCAGAGAGGCCGGGGCCACTGGGAGTGACTGTCTCTTGCTTTGTGCCACTGTCTGGTGTCCCCATCTAAGGGTTTGCCCTGCCCTTATAGGGAGAGAGTGGGACAGTGGGGACAGCCACAGTGAACCTTCATCTCTCTGGGTCCTGCCTCATGTGACCACATCTCCAGCACCAACCAAAGCCAAGCCATGTCCACAATCCCTGGGGAAAGGCCACCCCTCCTCTCCCTGCTCTGTGTCCTCAGGACCAGGGCCTGGGCTGCTGAAACCACACCCAAGTAACGTCCACAGCAGGGCATACTTCAGAGGGCTGCATGGTAAGGTCTGCTCTCCGCATGCCCAAGCGCAGGTAACACAAAGTGACCAGGTGCCCCAGTTTGGCCAGAGTTGTCCTCATTTTTGGTGGCTTGTGTGTGGTGGACAGGTGTCTGAAAACTACATCCCAGGCTATATATAGCTACGACGTATTGAGATCAAGGCCCTCGATAGCAGGTGCACAGCAGGAGGCGGGAGAGCAGCTGGCTCCGTGCTCAGGAGCTGCACCGCCTCAGGTCAGACCCCCACTCTGTGCCCTAGCTTTTAACATGAGACCTTGCATTGCCCCCCAAGCTCTATTTATCTGTAACGTGAGGATGGTCAGAAGAGTACCTTCTCCATAAGATGATACAGATTGATACGGAGGAGGGAATGAGCTAATGTGTGTGAAATATTTCATGCCGGCTGGGCCCAGAGCCAGCATTCAAGGTATGTGTTAGATATTATGATAAGGGTGTTAGATGCCCCACTTCCATACGGTTATTCAATTCTCAAGTTTATCGTTACTATTATAACACAATGACCCCCATTTCACAAATGAGGAAACTGAGAGTCAAGCTTAAGTAACTTGCTAAACATCACCTAGCTAGGAGGTAGAGAAGCTGAGGTTTAAGGTTATGTCTGTTCAGTAGTCTTTGTCCTTTTTTTTTTTTTTTTTTTTAAGAATTATTGTTTTAATTTTATTTCTTCTTCTTCTTCTTCTTCTTCTTCTTCTTCTTCTTCTTCTTCTTCTTCTTCTTCTTCTTCTTCTTCTTCTTCTTCAATTTGATCAGAGAGAGACAGAGAGGGAGAGTGAGAAAGCAAGTTGCCAGGTCCAGGTCTCGAACTACAGTTGGCCATGTGGGAGTCCAGCACACCAACCACCACGCCACCTGCTGGCCCCTCCTTTCTCCTTATTGTTGTTTTTTTGAAGAGAGATTTTATTTTTATTCCTATAGGGTGTGTGCTCTCACCAGAGACACAGAGAGCCAAAAAGAAAGAAATCACCCCCCCCAGGGGGGAATGGCCATGCCACAATCCCTTCTCCTCCATTCTCTTCTGGGGGCCTTGGGCACGCATGCACATGTGCCAGTGTGGGGCGTGAGTTTCTTCTTCTTCTTCTTCTTCTTCTTCTTTTTTTTTTTTGAGAGGCTTTTTTTGCTATAGGGCATGTGCACTCACCAAAAAGAGACAGAGAGACAGAAAACAAGAAATCACCCCCCGGGAGGATGGTCACATCACAATCCCTTCTTGTCCATTCTCCTATCAGGATCTTGGGCATGCATGCACATGCGCTCGGTGTGAGTTTAAGCCACTGGGTCAGGGACTGGAACTGCGGTCAACTACATGGGAGTCCAGCGACACAGCCGTTACACCAACTGCTGGCCCCATCTGGCATGAGTTTCAGACTCACAGCTGGGGTCGTTTTACTAACTGAACTTCCCTCAGTCGATCACTGGAGGTTCCCAGTGTCACGCACTTTCTCAAGCTCACAGGCTCTCTTGTCACCAGCATGAAGCCCATGGTTATCACTTCGGTGCTGATCTAAACAGCCCAGGTTCCCTCCCCGAGTCCACTGCTGGGCATAGGAGCCCCCCACCGAGCAGGGACACGGCATGGACACTGGCCTGAGGCCCCATGGGGACCCAAGATGCAGAGCTGTGCCCTCCCTGCAATCCACCCTGGGACCTCCATGTTCCTCATAGACCCAGAATCCCTTGGGTGAATTTCTAGCACTTTCCCTCCTCAAGGAGGAGGTCCGTTCTTCCTCCTATTCTTCCCAGTTAAATCTAACTGCTCTGGGCAGGGGGCTCCTCCCACCTGTCCAAATGGGAAGCAAATCACCCTCTTTTTTTTTTTTTGGAGAGGTTTTTGCTATAGGGTGGCTGAGCTTGCCCGCCAGCCCAAGAGAGAGAGAGAGACAGAAAGCGAGAAATCACCCCCCAGGGGGAATGGCCCCGCCCCAATCCCTCCTCCTCCGTTCTCCTTTCGGGATCTTGGGCATGCACGCACACACATAAGCCACTGGGTCCGGGACGCAAACCGCAGTCGACTACATGGGAGTCCAGCAACATAGCTATTACGCTAACTGCTGGTCCCGCAAGTCACCTTCTTGTTTATCACATTCCTGGTCCTCTACTGTCCTCACCTTCCTTCCTCCTGAGATGCAGAGGTGTCCATGAGCTCCCCTGTGTCCCTGGACACTTCCCTCTGAGCTATCTCAGCTCCACGGTCTGCTTGACAGCCTCTCTGCTCTTCACCTACTCCTCTGTTTCTTTTTTTCTTTTTTAAAAATTTTGCTATAGGTACCTCACCAGAAAGAGGCAGAGAGAGAGAGGAGAAGTGGAAAAGCAGATCCCAGGGGAGATGGCCATGCCATAATCCTTTCTCCTCCATTCTCCTCCCAGGACTTAGGGCACAGGCACATACAGGCTCAGCATGTTTTCCAAACTGCTGGGTCTGAGTCTTGAACTACCTACTCCTCTGACTGTTGTTTCCTCTGCTTTCTCAGCCTAGATCTCTTTCACTCCCAAGTTAGGAATTTCCAGTTTGGTGAATCACAAAAGGAGGGGCAGAAAAGTTTCTCTGGGGGCCAGCACAAGGCGTGGTGGTTAAGGTGCTGGACTCCCACACGGCTGACCATGGTTTGAGACCTGGACCTGGCAGCTTGAAAATTATGTGTATGCCCAAAATCCCAAGAGGAGAAAGGAGGAGAAGAGATTGCAGTATAGGCCATATTCCCTGGGGGATGATTTCTCGCTTTCCCTCTTTCTGTCTCTGTCTTTTCTGTGGGCCCACAGCCCAAGCATCCCTTGGCAAAAACAAAAACAAAAACAAAAACAGAAACAAAAACAAAACACCAAAAACCAAAAACCAAAACAAAGTCTCTGGCAGAGCCTAGGTCCAGTATGCTTGGTCTTTGGCCCCTGAGTCTGTCCTCTCTCCCCCTGATTTTGCCCACTCAGGTCTGTTGTCCCAAAAGGGACTCTGAGCTTTGCATCCCCCCCCCCATCCCCTTTGGCTTGGACACCCCAGCAGGGAAGCTCAGTTCTAAAGGCCAATCCGTCCCTCCCCCATCCTACCTGGGGTGAAGAGGATCTGACTTTTCCTTGGTAACCAAGGGAAACCAGCAGTGCAATAGGAGGAGGGGGGGGGGCAGAAGCTTCTGGACCTGCAGGAGGGATGGCAGTTCTCTGCAGCTGGAGATGCCTGGGGCCCGGGGCTTAGGACTGCTCTCCTCCACTCTCCCGTCCCTCCCACGGTGCCCCTCCCCTTATTCAGACCTCCGACCTCTGGGCGGGTTTGCAGAAAGTGAGGCGGTGGGGGAGGAGGTACGGTCTGGACTAAGGGTGGGCAACGGGGCCTCGGGGCCTCGTTCGGTACAGTGGGTACAGGCAGACCCCTTCCCAACACAGGAAACGTGGGACGCCAAGGCGACAACCGCCTGTGGGTTGAGGGCGCCAGAGAGCACTGGAGGGGCTTCCAGCGGGACAGACCCGAGTGGGGGTCTGACAGGGGAGCTCCAGGGTTGGGGTCCCCTCCCAAAGGTCGGCTCACCGCTGCAGAGTCCCGGAGCCCGCTCTCTCGAAGGCCGGAGCCGGTCGTTAGGGACGCCCGCGTCGCCAAGGGGTGGGGCGCGTGCACCGCGGGGCTGGGGAGGGGCTGGGGAAGCTCCCGGCAGGTGCTTCGGTGGCGGCCGCTGGCACCCGGCCACGCGGCTCACCGGCGCGCGCTCCCCGGCTCAGGAGGCTTCATCCAACCCTGCGTGTGGGTAGTGGGGCCTCCGTGGGAACGAGTTTAGGAAGGGGTGGCTGTCTATGGGGGTAGGGCGGGCTCCTGGGCTGGAATGCTAGTGCCTTCTTGGTACCTTGTGTGTGCAGACAGTTAGGGGACTGACGTGGGAAGATGGTCCCGGAGGGCGGAAGGAGGTCTCCAGGGCACCGTAGGATCACTGGAACTCCCCAGAAGCTCCTGGTTCATCCCCAGTGCTGGGGTGGGGGGGCACCTTCCACCTTTCTCCAGGAGGTAAACAAGGCAGGGGTATGGCACCAGACACAGGAAGGTTCCAGGCCTCCACACCCTGAGCCTGGTGCCAAGCCCCCTTCCAGCCTCGTGGGTGAGCTGATGTGGTTGGTGTCCCTGATCTCCTGGAGGCCCAGTGTAGATATTTAAAAAAAAAAAAAAGAAAGAAAGAAAGAAAGAAAAAGAAAAGGAAAAGAAAAAAAGAGAACTTGTCCTTCTGGAGGGAAAAGGCAGCCCAGTTAGTGGGAGGTCCCGGCTTTAATGTCAGTGTTACTGAGGACTACTGAGTTGGTTACCTTGGATATGTTTGTTTTTTAAGTTTATTTCTTTCATGTGAATGAGCCACAAAAAGGGAGGGAGAGCGCAAGACTAACAGGGTCTCACACTGACCTGCTCCTCACCTCCCCAGCCAGCCAGCGTGTAGAGGTTGACTGGGGAACCGAACGGGCAGTTTCACACATGGATCCTGCTCGCCTGAGCACCGGCACTGCTCCGTCACCAAGCCTGCCCGCCCTCGGTAAGTTCACATCTCAGAGCTCAGTTACCCTGTCACAACTCCTTACCTTGGTGCCCACCAAGGACCCTGCAGGAGCTGGGTCTGTGAAGAGCGCTGCTGAAAAGTGGCTTTTTTTTTTTTTTTTTTTGAAGAGGTTTTTTTCGCTACAGGGTGTGTGCGCTCGCCAGACAGACAGAGACAGAGAGACAGAAAGCAAGAAATCACCCCCCAGGGGGGATGGTCACGCCGCAATCCCTTCTCCTCCATTTTCCTCTTGGGATCTTGGGCACGCATGCACATGCGCCCGGCGTGAGTTTTAAGCCACCGGGTCCGGGACACGAACTGTGGTCGCCTACGTGGGAGTCCAGCAACATAGTCATTACGCTAACTGCTGGTTCCCCTGAAAAGTGGCTTTTGCCCCTGATGCCAAGATGCCAAGCTGAAGCTTCCCAGACAGGCAAGTGCCAGGCACCAGGGCTTCACATCCCTTCACATTCTCATGATTTACCAATACATCCACTGTGCTTCAGAGTGGTGAGTGGTGTAGGAAATGATGCCAAGGGGGCCCACTCTGCTCTCGGACTTTTTACTAGCTGGCCCGAGGGCTCGGTAGCCAGGGAGCCTTGACTTAAAGTGAATGTCCTAAGGCCCTTCCTTTTATCTGGCAACAGAGTTATGGGAACAGAGGCGGAGCTCCTGCGTGACTCCATCTGGGTGAATTCATTCTGGAAGAAAAGGAGAGCGTCCTTTCATTTTTAGGTTCTTTGGCTCTGAGCTGCCAGTTTTCAGCTTCGGCTCAGGCTTGGGGCAGGTGCTATGCAACTTGTTCTAAAAAGCAAATGGTTGGTCTGGGCCCTCTACTCTGCCCCTCACCCACACTCACTGCCACCCTCACGGGCACTGGCCTCCTCGCCCTGCCTCGGGGCTTCTGCACTGGCTGTTCCTGTTGCCTGGAATACTTTTCCTTCAGATCTCCACGTGGCCTACATCCTCACCTTCCAGCTCCGCTCACCTGCCACCTCTCAGGCAGTAACGCCGCCCCTATCTTCCTGATCCCCACTTGACTCTCCCCAGGGACCTTGTCGCAGGCTGACCGCCTTCTCTCTCTTCCTTGCCTGTCTCCCCACTGAAGCAGGCTCCACGTGGCAGGGGTCGTCCGCCTCTCAGCAACTAGCCAGTGCCTGTTGCTCAGTGTGTCTGCACACTCGCAGGCCTTCACTGAAACAAGTCACTGCACTGACAACATAAGTGACACAGATGGAACGATTTTCACATGGCAGTTCTGCATCTTGGTAGCCAGGGGAGCCCCCGTCGGTGCGGGGGACGGCTAGGCAGCACAACCCACCTGAGCACCGATGTCAAGGATGGCCCTGATTTACATCTTGGTAGCCTTTCAGGCCAGTGTGAGAGGTCAGGCCGCCGGGCAGGGGGCATCTGTACCAGACTGATGGAAGGCAAAGGTTCTTTTTTAAATAAAAGAACCTTCTGGGACTTCCTGTCCTCTGTGATACACATTTTATTTTTTGAGGTTTTTGCCACAGGGTGCATATGCTTGCTGGAGAAAGACAGAGGCAGAGAGAAAGTGAGAAATCACCCCCCAGGCCACGCCACAATTGCTTCTCATTCAGTCTCCTCTCAAGATTCTGGGCATGCATACATGTGCCTGGTGTGATTTTTCAAGCTGCTGGGTCTGGGACTTGAACCTCTGTCAACCATGTGAGACTCCAGTGCCCTAACCACCACACCACCTGCTGGCCCCTATGTTACACTTTTTAATGAGCAATCACAGCCATATTTGCATATCTGCCAAGAGAGGTATATCCCTCGCCCCATTTCTGCTCCCCCAGCCTACATTGCCCCCCGCCCAGGGGGCCCTCTGGCTCGGTCGATCGAAATTCAGTCTCTGGTCCTTGGCTTCAGCATTTGGGAAGTCCTGAGGGATCCTGGCGCTTTCCGTTAGTCCATGCGGGGCCCCGGGTGGGCCTGGGTCAGAGCTGGCTGAGGGCGTAGGCTCGGGCTGCACTGAGGGCTGCTTCCAGGTCTGTGGTGCTCCCAGTGCCCTGGGCCATCACTCGAGAGCCCCAGGCCTTCCCCCCCATGTGGCTGCACACGGCCAGCGCCCAGGCCTGTGCAGTGAAGGTGGATGTGGCACCCTGGGAACAGAATCAGAAGGGGAGGCAATGCAGAGAGCTCTCCCTGCCGGCACCTGCTCAGTGAACCCTCAAGGGGACAGGTGATCAGAACCCCTCCCCAGCTGGGCCCATGGTGGGGAGACTGTGTGAGGAGACAGGACTGGCCTGGGGAAGTGCGTGGCGTTCATGAATGCTCGCTACTCATCTATAAAGGATGGGAGGCATGGAAGGAGGTGGAGAGATGGGAGGAGGTCTGCAGAGACAGGGCTGTCTTTAGGGACAAGGAGAATGCCCTATTCCTGCCTGGGCTGTCCTCAGAGATCATCTCCACCCAGCCTTGGCTCCTTTGGCTGGGAGGACTAGAGGCAAAGAGCTGGCCCGGGGGTGGGGCTGCTCTGACCCTCTCACCTGGGCCACCTGGCAGGCGCACAGCACATTCCCCACAGGCTGGGGGCTGAGCAGGAACACGGATGTGCTTGGGGCCTGCTCGCACAGCTGCCGCACCACCTTCACCAGCACCTGGATGGAGGAGAGGTGGTGAGAGCCAGCTTCCCGGACTCCCAGCCAGCTCCCAGTCAGGGCCTTACCCTCCGCAGACCCTGGGGCCCCCTCCGACACCACCCACCGAGAGGGACTCAGCAGAGACCGTGTCCACAATGAGGGGCCCCTTTGCGTGCCGCTCCAGCAGCTCCTGGGTTTTCTTTGCAGCCTGTGGGGCAGGAAGGATGGTGCTGAGAGGCAGGCTTCCCATTAGCTCCACTTTTGAGATGAGCCCAGCCTAGGAATCCCTTCCTTCTCCCTGACCCCCAACAAAAGTCATTAGCTTGGAGCACAGGTAGCAGTGGCTCTCCCAGGGGTGGCCTCCTTTCCTGAGCCCCACCTGCGTCCTTCCTTGCCTCTTTCCTGTCATCATTGCTTCAGGTCCTAGAAACAGGCCACTGAAGGTGAGAGGAGGAAGGCCAGAGCACAGATGGCCTGGGAGCAGGGCGGCCCGGACAAAGAGCAATTAGGGTTGAATGGTGCTAATCAAGTCAGTAGTTTTCCTGGAGGGACAGGCTGAGCCAGATTTGGGAGATGGGGGAGACAGTTTGGCAGAGGGAAGTGGGAACGACCTGGCGATGGCTCTGGGAGGGCAGAAGAAGGAAGCTGCCACCAGCCCTGCCCCATGCCCTCACACAGCCTCCTTCCCGCCCTGTGCCCCAGACCTGGGGCTTCAGAGCGGGTGCAGAGTGTCACTGAGCACTGGGAACCGCCTCGTACCTGCCCCATCTCCACCTTTCGGATGGCAGTGTTGGCGCGCCGCTGCAACCCCTTCAGTGTGGCCTGAAGCTCCCGCCGCTGCCACTGGGGCATCACCGCAGTGTCCACAGCCTGTGGCCAGGAGCAGTGAGTCACCCTTGCCCTTCCCTCAGCCATGATCTCTGAGGCTGGGACCAGGAGGGTCAGGGAAGATGCCGTACCCACCCTGCAGAAGACGCCGTACCCACCCAGCAGAGCCAGCTGGGGAGGCAGGGAGACAGGGCAGGGCCGGGCAGGGTGGGGCGGGAGGAGCAACCTGGGGGGGGACCTCACATCAGTGAGTCGTCCAATGTCCTTGGACAGTCGCTGTGCCTCCACCACGTCCCGGCTGCCCCGACTCAGCCGCTCTGTGGCCGCTTCCACTTCCTGTGCCATCCCCTTCCTGTGCCAGACTCTGGCCCACCTCTCGGGCCTGTGGGGTGGGGACCCGAGGGTCAGGGCTGTCAGGCTCACACTTACCCCCGGACAGGAGCGCTCAACCCACTGTGGCGAGGGCCAAATTAGGAATATTTAAGTCAGGATCAGTTGAGGCACCATGCCAAATAAGCATCGCATTGGTGTGCGTGTGCAGGGACACTGGCTCTGCTGCAGCCGCCCTGGGGCCCAGAGTGACAGCTGTGTGTGTCCAGTGCCCCTAGCCACACCCAGAAGCCTCCCAGGTCTGCCGGTGCTAACCTGCCGGGCCTGCTCCCCAGTGATGGCCAGCAGGCGGGTGGTGCCCTTGGCGAGCTGGCGCTCCCCAATGATAACCAGGTCCCCCAAGGTGCCTGTACGCAGCAGGTGCCTGTGGGCAGGAGGAGGCAGGACGAAGTCAGGGTGTAATGGGAGAAAAGGGAGAAGTGTGAGCCTCACACCAAGGGCTGGAAGCTCTACAGACCAGGAAGGACAAGGTCCCAGTGTCCCAGGGCTGGAGTGGCACTATGGAGTCACTTACGTCCCACAGCATAGCTCCACGGAGGTCTGCAGTGAGGCTTGGGAGGTGGGGTCCAACGCATGGGCCACGGGCACCCCCACAGACACCACCCGTACCGGGTCTGGGTATACCTGAGGGTAAGAGAGGACAGGCCTGTGACCTGCCTGAGGAGCAGGAGGAGGGAGGAGGAAAGAGGAAAGAGGAAGCTTTCTGCCGATGCCCTGAAAGGGGCAGGTGATCTCCACTGAAAGGGCTCCCCAGCTCACCTCATCCAGAGAGCGCAGGCCAGGGACCTGGGCAGTGAGCGCCAGGGCCACCTCCTCCACATACACAGCCTTGTCCTGTTGCACGGCCTCCTGTACGATGCCCTCCACTGTCCGGAGCTGCTCGGGGGTCAATGGGGCCTGGTGGGGTAGGGGAGTGGACAGACCGATGGGCGGTCAGCCTCCTGCCTGTGAGTGATGACTGAGCAGCAGCTGATGCTCACTTACTACCCCAGATTCCAGAAGAGTGGCTGGCACATTAACAGGCTCAATAAATTGGTGGAGCAGAGGACCCTTTGCTTAACAAAGCCGCCTGAGAGTTGGGCCTATGGAAGGCACAGGCTTTTCACTGGGCACCAAAGTTGATGAAGAAACAGAAAAAGGAGGCTTTGTCCTTAGGGAGCTTACAAGGGGCAGTCCAAGGGGAGAGAAATACTGGAGGGGGAGATGCAGGGGCACAGGGGATTGGTCAGTGAGACTTCCTGGAGGCACAAGGAGTGGAGAGAGGGGGTGGCAGAAGGAGTGGGCAGCCCATTGTGGGCAGGAATGGCTGGGATGACAGCAGGAACAAGGAAGCTTGGTGACTGGAGGGGAAGGGAGGACCCCTGCTGAAGGGTCATGAGAATCCTACAATAACGGGCCCAGCAGGAGGGTGGGCTGTGCAAGGCTGGGTCACATGGGAGGCCAGGGTTTGGATCCTGAACCAGCCTGAAAGCTGGGTGTGGCGGTGCGTGCCTATGATCCTGGCTAACAGGGAGGCTGAGGCACAGGACTGCAATAGCAAGGCCTTGTCACAAAAAAAGAAAAAGAAAAAGAAAGCCCTTTCTTTTTCCTTCCCTCCTCTCCTGCTTGTGCTTGCACTTGCACACCCTCTCTTTCATTAAAAAAAGAAAAAAGGGTGCTGGGGCCAGCAGCAGGCTGCCTTAACGGGCCTACTGTGTTTAAGTAGTAGGGCCCTGGCGGGCTTGCAATTCACGCTAGGTGCCCATGTGTGAGGGTCCAAAATCCCAGGAAGAGAATGGAGAAGGGATTTGGGTGTGGCCACCCCCCTAGGAGGTGATTTCTCACTTTCCTTCTCTGTCTCTCTCTGTTGAGCACAAGTGCCCTATGGCAAAACCCTAAGAGAAAGGTGCTAAAACATCAGAGCTGGGGGAGGACCCAGGCCCACTCTAGTCTGACCCCTGCTAGCACAGGAGTGATCAGAAGGGAAGGGACCTGTGGTGACTGAGTGACAGAGTAGGGTCCAGAGCCCAGGCCTCAGAAAGTCAAACCCTCCACGACTGTCTCCCTCTATGCCTGTCGCCTCCCGTGACACCCGTCTCTCGAAAGGTGCTAAAACATCAGAGCTGGGGGAGGACCCAGGCCCACTCTAGTCTGACCCCTGCTAGCACAGGAGTGATCAGAAGGGAAGGGACCTGTGGTGACTGAGTGACAGAGTAGGGTCCAGAGCCCAGGCCTCAGAAAGTCAAACCCTCCACGACTGTCTCCCTCTATGCCTGTCGCCTCCCGTGACACCCGTCTCTCTGGGCCCAGCTCACCTGGCTGGCCACATCGAAGCGCAGTCGCTCAGGACTGAGATGCGAGCCCCGCTCAGTGTGCTTCTCCATGCAGCCCAGACGCCAGGCCTGAAACACTGTCATTCAGGCTCCTGGGTGTGGTTGGGGGTGAGGAGAGTGAAGGGGCTGAACTGGGCTGATCAAAGACAGCTGGGGTGGGGTTCTTACCTCATCCACATGCAGCTGCACCTGGTCCCCGACCTGCAGGCACTCAGGGGCCACCACTTCATGCAGGATGAAGCCCCCACACACCTGGGCTCGGGCCACTGGGAACAGCACATCCTGGGAAGCACAGGGCCCAGGCACTGGGGTGGCTGCTTTGGAGCCTTTCCCGCCCCTTGGCTCTCATCCAGGCTCAGGTCCACCTCCCACAGAAACCAGCCTGGGGGTGGTGGGGAGGGATGCATACCTACCTGTTGCTCTACCCGCACGAGGTAGCCCCGGTCCGAGGCCTGACCCCCCTGTTCAGCGTAGAAGTTGGTCCTGTCCAAGAGGAGGCCACCACGCTGGCCTTCCCCTATGGAGGCCACGGCAGTCCCATCCTCTGTGTACAGTTGTAGGACCTGGGCCTCGCAGGTGCCAAACTCTGCCAGGGCATGGAATGGTCAGCAGTGCTGGGCAGGGGCTGGGGACCTGGGGTATGTGGGCTATGCCATGAGGCCAATAGGCACCCCTTCCAGTTGGGACCCACAGCGACCCCTAGTGGCTACCTTGGGGAATTCAGAGGGGCCGGGCTGGTAGCAACCATCTTTGAGGGTTGAGGCTGCCGGCCTCCCCAATGCTCTCACCATAACCCCCGCTGGGGCCCAGGGAGTAGTTGTACTTGGGACTGTCATCGGTCGGGCGCACCCCTTGGCGCCGCAGCTCTCCCAGTGCGTGGACGTCGAGTCGCAGTGCCTGCTCCTGAGCTGGCCCAGCCTGCTGTGCCCGGTGCTGCAGGGTGGGTGGGTACATGGAGGAGGCACAGGGGAATGCAGTGGGACTGAGCCCTCAGAGCCCTGTCCCCGCGCCGAGCTGCGTGGGCCCTGCAGCCACTCTGGGAGATCTAGCTCAGCAGTGCAGCGAGACCCGGGGCTGGCTGGAGTCACTTATCGGGAAATGGGAGGCTACTCGGGATCAGGCCTCCTTAAGCATCTCTGTCCCTGGAGGCCCCACTTCTAGGACACTGTCGGCCTCTTCCCTTCTCCCTGGTTTAGCTCATTGCTCCTTTCTGTGGCTGAGGTTTTGAAGTCTCTCCTCACCTGGGAGGAGATGGACCCTCCATCAGCCTCCCCAGGGCTCTCAGTAGCGATAGCTCCTCCCCCAGGAGCTGGGGCTGGGCGTGGACTGACATGTTCCAACAGAGCCCAGTGTGGGAGGCCCCCCATACCTGGGCCTCTTCCTGGGCCAGCCGCTCCAGCCCAGCTGTGTCCAGCTGCACCCCCTTCTCCTCCAGCATCAGCTCTACCAGGTCCAGGGGCAGGCCCAGATTCCCAGACAGGGACAAGGACCAGGCTACTTCGGCTTTGAGAAAGACGACAAAGGATGTTGAGAAGGGGAGGAAGACAACAGAAGGGGAGAGAAGGGAGGGGAAGCCAGGGGCAGGGCTTTGCTAGCCGCACAGAAGCCACCAGGTGCCAAGCGCAACCACTCCAGTAGTTCCGGGAGAGGGCGTATCTTCAGGCTTCGTGCTCTGAGGTTGGAGCTGAGGGTGGCCCACAGGACTCCCGGGGCCCCCGTTATTTCAGAGGAGGGAAGCTCACTAGGCATGAAGCTGACCTTGGGGACAGGGACAGAGGCAGGGCTAGCTGGCAGTGTGGACGTGGGGAGAAACAGGGGGCTGGGTGTCGGAAGAAGAGTATAAGGTGAGGGGCTGGAAGTGAGTGGTACAGGTCCGGCCAAGAGCCCCCTTCTCCGCTTGTCCTGTCATGACTGAGGGAGCCCCTCGCACCTTAGCTTGGTACCCCACTCACCAGGGAACATATCCGAAGGCCCCAGGTGCTTCAGGGTCCGATCGATGATCCGCCGACCCCGCTGCAGGGAGGCCAGGAAGGCTTCCTCATCTTCTGACACCAGGCTGGCTATCTGAACCAGGGCAGGGCGAGAGTGCAGCCGGGTCTCCTTGGAGGGAGGGCCTCCTTCTGCACCTTCCCACATCCCCTCCCTCCCCATCTCAATCCAGTACCTGGGCTGAGTTCTTCTGTAGTTCGGGATAGGCATCACCCTAGGGGAGATGGAGAGGGCTGAGGGCATGGAAGGCAGCCAGCCCCCTCTCCACCTCCCCGCTGATCTCCCCGAGGACACCTGTCCTGGAGGCTCAGACACTGAGCGTCTGGGGGAGGAGCATAAATGGAATTGGTTTCCCTGAGGGGTGGGGTACGGGCAGAAAGTGGTCCCAAGACCAAAGGCTCAGCAGCTTGGACAAGGAGCCTTGTGAAGGCTCATGCTTTTTACAAGCAATTCTGGTGTTCCCAGCCTGCCGGAAGCACACTGGGGGGG